GGCTCTTGAATTTTTTGGTGTAACCCCCCCCCCAACGCTAAACATTAGTCTCTTACCTTGGCAGCCCAAGGCTTGTAGTCAGAGACTTTTAGGACATTGTTCGTGCTTCAGCGTCAGAGAAAAACAGGTGCCTTTCCTTAGCTGTTTTTCCCATTACTCCATATGTCACCCTCGAGGTCATTAAAATCAAATGTGAGATAATAATTCCACTCCACTCAATAATTGCTTTGTTTTCAGATCATGTCTGAATACTAGTTGCAAATGGTCTGCTACCACCGTATTTTTCAGGGTTTCCTTGATTGTGTGCCTTTACTGGTTGGTATTACAGTATCCAGACACCGTTCTTGGCTGACGTCACCTGATTCATTAAAACCTGTATTTATTCAAAGCTAAACAGCCAGCTATGTGCAAAATCGCTTCCTCCTTTCATACGTATGGGTTTCTGAACAATTTGCGATCTATTCGCTGAACAGTTGCAATATGTTTTTTTAAGATCTTGATTATCCATTCATAGTTCTGTGGTAGAGGCTGGATTCCTTGATTAGCTGCTTAGCCTCCCTCTCAAACTCTTCTCTTAACAAAATAGTTTTTTCCACAACACCTAGTTCATCAGTTTTTATACACTAGTATCTCAAATATTGCCCAATATTTGAAAGCTTCCTTTGCTTTGCCGACTAATTTAGAAGGAGATGCTTGAGGAGGATTCGTCGAATGCTTCAACGGTCCACATGTGTGATTTGGTCGTGTTATTCGATGATCTCTTTCATTATAGTGTGATTTAGCACCGGCATCTTCTTTACTGCACTTACTTTGCCCACAATCACTTTTTGACCGCTTTGAAATTCTTGAATGATGCATTCTCCATTTTTTCTTGAACTCTAAGTAGTATGATCTAACTTTATGCCTATTCTGCTGTCTCACCATCTTGACCCATTCGTTTCACATGTGCTATTTACCTCTCCCTCCCCCCTCGGAAGGTCCATCACGGGAAGGAACTAGGGGGAGTGTCGTATCAACCCCCTGAAAAGGAAGAACCCAAAATCCCCAACCAATGATATGCCCTGCGCTGGGCGTTGCTGAATTCAGTGGGTGAGGCTGGAGTTCCTTCATGAATCTCGTATTGTTGAGCTGCGAATGGAACAAGGCGATTCGGCTAGAACGCGTTTGTGAAGCAGTGTTTCCGTACACTTCCCTTCGCTTGCGTGCTAACCGGGAACGTGCAAAAGCTTTTCGTCCCGATGAAAATGATAATGTGCTCGCCGATGATCAGTTCCTTTTCGGGATGCTGCACGCACTCTACTTCAATCACAATCGTAGCGGCTTATTGGATGCGATGAGCCCTGTACAATGACTGGGGGAGCCAACAGATGCGCAAAAGTGTTCTCATCGTCCCAGACCAATACGATACCAGTTCAGTGCCCGGAGAGTAAAGGCTTGGTTTGCCCGGGCAGGAGCTGATCCACGGACCGCGCTCGGGGTAAGAGCATTAAAATTTTGAGATAGACCTTGGGCTGTACGTGTGCCATTCCGAAGAGGTACTGTCACTAGTAATGTAACTAAGAAAAAATGAAGAGAGAACTGAGTGAGCACCTTTTACAAAGTTGATAACTTCATTGATATCGGGTTGCCCAACGATGAAAGCTTTTGGCCGCTGACCATCCACCTCGTGTTCGACACCTACAACTGCGCAGTCCTTCACTCCGACAACATTGGCTTTAAGCGCCTCTTCGATTTCGTAAGGGTTTACCTGAAATTGCAATCGATCCATTAAACCAATACGGCTCCGAATTGATTACCAGTTCGGGAGAGCGGGTCATACTGACACCGCTATTTCACTGGTCTCGATGGTATACCCTGACAAGACAATAATCGCGTGCGACCCCCTAAAACAAAACTGGGTTGTTTCTACCTTACCTGCCATCCTCGGACCTTTATCATTTCTTTCGTGCGGCCGGAAATGAAGAAGAACCCCTCGTCATCAACGCAAGCCAAATCGCCAGTGTCGAACCAGCCGTATGGTACTGCACTGAAATCCATAAGAAGTCCAGTGGAAGACTTTGGAAATTTTACTCATCGAATTAGTAACTTCTTACTGGATTATTGATTGATCTATTAACTTTGATAGTCCTCACCAACCGCAAGCTCCCTAGTACACTCCAGTTCGATGCGGATGATGTGAGGGAGGAGGGGTTTAGCGTGACGCCAACCAATTCTCTACCAATTGTGGAAGTTATCTGGCGACAACAAGAGCAGAAAGACGAGCTGGCGCAGCGCCAAACCCATCCCCCTGACACGCCCCAGCATCCGCAGCGAACAAGAATTCAAACAGCACGAACCACACATATTGTTGACAGAGTAAAGGGGCACATAATGAAAAGGACTATGAAGAAATTACAAAGGAAACGAAGTTTTACGAAGCTCTCACGGATATTCTCCTAAGTATCCTTGCATGTTGGTTGGAGCCTGTACCAGAAGCCTACCGACCTGGTTGAAACCCATGAGATCGCCATGTTCATCAAGTATCTGAAATGTACTATACTTCCGTTTACACTTCATACGGCTCTCCTTCTCTGCAAGTGCCAACACATGTTTTTTCATTTTTGTCCCTAATGTTATCAAGCGCAGAAACTTGGATAATTACCATACACAACTGTGAGTACGAGAGATAGGATTCGTAGTAGGGCAGTGGCAAGGGCACGCCTCCACCAGTTTTACAGGGATTAGTTTTTTTTGAAGGTGCATTTCATTCCACGATGCGTATCCACGGTAATCATGGACGCGGTTGCGTGTGTACCTGGGGAGTGCCGGTTCAGGCATACCGTCAATACTTTCTCATGCATACGCTGTCAATATTTCTGTCCAACACAGCTTAAAGTACAAGAGTCCCGCTACGCTCTCGTTTACAAATGGTTCCATGGACACGCCCTCTCCTCTACAGGGTAACGGTGGCCAAGTTTTAGGTTGGATATTTCAGGCATGCATTAGAGGGAGGAGACGCAGTTGGCGCCAGAGCATGACATCGCCTTGCGATCAGTTCTTTGAAAATACGACCCCCCTATTCCATCCTCAAGTACGATCCCCCATGCTACCTACCACTTTCCTAGATTTTCCCAACTTTCCTGCCACTTTTTCCATTTTTTCGAAAAATTTCCAGTTTTTCAGCCAAAAATTTTCCGTGCGGCGAATGAGGCGATTTATACACAGGGTGTAACAGAAAAGGGTAATTTCTCAGATGTTCTCTAACCTCATACAGTTTTTCAGAAATTTCTCCGAAAATTTCTGATTTTTCCCAAAAATTTTGCTGGCGAGCGGGGGGGGAGTGTCAGGAATTTTAACCTATCCATTGTTCAGCTACGAAAATCGGAATAGGTTGTATAAATCTTTGGCAGTCCCTCTCCCCACAACGAATCTCACCAAACACGACGTGAAAGCAAGGGAAATTAACCTATCAAAAAAAATTTTTTTTTTTTTTTTCCTCTGACTAAGACGCACCCCACTCGCTCCGCGGTCAAATACGACCCCCCTCCCCTTCTTGTGAACATCACAACGATTGCGTGCCCTGCTTGTCGCACTCTGACAACTTCGACTTTCAAATAAAACAGATTGAGCCGTTAAAACAATTTCTTCCTTGAATTCAAGATTATCCAAAGGTTGAAGCCGATCCATTAGCCGTTTGACAACCAGGCATGCTCTGCCTATACGGATGACAGCTTCTAGATTCCAATCTGAGCACGGAAATATAAATAACTCCTTGCTCATCAAGCCATACACCTGAAAGCATGATAGGATGATCACAGCAGTCGATAAAAGGACCAAAGGAAACCATTAGCTTGATGTACGTTCTCAGACTCGGGGAGCCGATTTTACCGATCCGATAGTAGAGTGTTCCATTTACATTCGCTGCTCCCACACGAACACACCATGAAAGGGTCTACATATTATATGTGATTGTGCAGATTCATCGTAAAAATTATTATCGATTATAAAATTATTCCAAGCAAAAACAGAAAAAATAAGTTATTCAAAAATCCCATGCGTTTTCAAGTCAAAGAGCCTTCGCAGGCAACCAGCCTCACTGGCCCTATGGAAAGTGAGATATTGGGTGGTAGTAAAGCCTCATCTGACTGTTTCCTTCAGATTTACCTCCAATGCACATCTCCAATAAGAAATCGGCTTCAATCTCTCTCTCTGTCCAACCAGGGCACCACTTAAGCATATTCACAACAGCGCAGGGATCGTTTTTACTAGGTCGGGAATTTTGGGCATGAGGGGTTTTACGATGCTAATCCCAAAAATTTTTTTCCCTCAAAGTCGTAAATGCACCTGAATAATTAGTTTCCAACCGCAACGATTCAAAACCTGTTCGAGCCGGTCCTTCAGATGAAGGTACTCTGAATGACAATTCCATGCTTATCACGGGTTGAAAATGAAAGCGATTTCTTTTGAAATCCGTTTCAGACAAAAATCGTGTGTCTAAGCAAAGTCGTCCATCGTTGCTTTACACTGTCAGCAGAAACATTGGGGGCCCCTCGATTCAACAAATTCGATGAAATGAGGATCTTGTTTAAAGTACCCTGAATTTTTGTGAGTTTAAAATGACACAATTCAAATGATGCTTCACAAAAAAGGCCATAAAAAAGGTGCACGATTGACAGTAGTAATCTATAAACGTTATATTACCTAAAGTCGAACTTGCAAAGGAGAGTTTTGTTCTTTATTGTGTGTATTTTTTGTTTTGTTTTTTAGATTTCCGTTGCCTTATGTATCTACAGCCATGGTCATATTGACTGTGCATGGCACGGGGTGTCGTTTCGGTTTAGTCTCGCTATTGCCTCTTCTGTTTTTGGGGGCTAATCAGTATGCGTCTCGCAGATGAAATAATGCTCTTTGTGGTTCTTCGTGATAGCGAATTACTTTTTGATAATCATGCGAACATATAGAGAATAAAGAGTGAAGCCTCCTTAGCTATCACTCCCCATCTTGGGATCAGAACGCATCAGCTTTCATCAGACAACTCTTTTCTGTCTATGATCGGACCTATACATGGACTCAAACCGGTCCGCGACTGGGTTTATACGAAATTGAAAATAAGTCGCTCGGGAGGTAATGTGCCTGCGACAACCAAACCTGTACCGTTTCGTGCAAAGACATTGGTAGGAGAGCGCTATATTGCGCAATATAGTTTTAGTGACCCTTCCTTTTTCTCAGGACTCGCCTCCATACTTCCGCCTACCCTCGCCTTTCAAAAGTAAAATGAACTATCAGACTAAAAGCCATCGAAAATCGTCACTTGCAACGTCATAGAGTGTAAATCGGAGATCATCTAGTGTGGATTAAGGGTTATAGTGTTGGAGAAGGAGTTTCAGTGGGCTTCGCACAAACATTGAAATGGGTTCTATCTTACACAGTTTAGATTTGTTTCTGCTTTTTTTGCTTCATTCTAATATCAAACCCTGATTCACACTACCTGTAATGGCGAATGACCGCGGAGTTTGCCTTTTATCAGTACCGTTTGCCATCACAGCATTTCCGCTGCACAGATGACGAAGTACTCGTGTTTTTGGTTGGAAAAACACAGAGATCGACTTAAACAGCACTCTCTCAGTCTGTTGACTGTTATTACCTAAAATGTTAAAACAGTTTTCGGCCTTCATTTAGGTTTCCACGCTATTGCCATCACTGCATCGCGGATTAGTTATCCCCGCCTCCCTTTCCTGAATCTCTTCGTGCCCCTCTCAGCAAGACTTTACAATGTCAACTAGTGTTCAACTTCCGAAGTTCTTTGGGAGTTCATCTCTTGAAACCTTCATTAAATGCTTTCTACTACACTCTTGCCCTTTTACCTAGGCTTTTTCCGGCCCAATGAGACGCCACAAAGGCTAATACCCATCACAATTCTTTTTTTCTACTTTTATTTTTCAGTAGTTCTGTTTTTGCATACGAAGATCCTTCAGCCTCCACAAAATGTTACAAGCGCTCAGAATTGGTTTTGTCTGTTTTTGGACACGCCCACCTATAACGAAGGGTGAAACGTTGAGCGCTAGCCTATCTCCTGTTAGGGGCGCGCCAATTGTCCAATTTATTTTTCAAATCTGGAAAGGCTTCCAAACAGAAGTACGACCATGTTCAAGTGCAGTGTTCAGTATACTGTACTCCCAGACCGGCCCCTAGGAATTCAAGCTTGGTCTTGAGGGACGGGAGGCAATTCGCTACAGACCATCGGACCGAGTTAAGGTGCCTTTAATGAAATCAACAAATTGTAGTGATCCGAAAACTCACTTGGAAGTCCTGCAGTACTTGGAGGAATCCTTCTTCATTCCATTTTTTATTGACGACCACCGTAGCGCCCTGTACAAGCATGCAGAATACGGTAATTAGGCCGCCGGCGTGAAAGTACGGTAATACTCCATGAACACGATCGTCTGCATTCACAAGTGGAAAAGGATACTTCTCAGAGTTCCCAGCACGTACAGATCTTAACAAAGTTTAGTAAATGGGAGCGCCATTACCAGTAACCTAGATGTGTGTAGGGCCCCGAAGCAGGACAAATCATCCATTTTTAGAACGCATAGGATTCGGGTGATCTTAGAAAAAGGGTTATCGAATTTATTCTCAGAAGGATTCTTTCAGATTGTTGACTTTCCCGTTTTACGCCCTCTCCATACTTCCCCTTCTTCCTCCTTCCCTCTCCCCCTGTTGACGGCAAATTTTGGAGAATTAGGTAGGAAGTTTCGAAAGGGAAATATTCGAGGGGGGTCCTACATTGGTGTCCTGCTCAGAAGTGAAAGCATAGCATAGGCCGGCAGGCTACACTCACATGATCTGACGAAGATGGGCGAGCAAAGTACGGTGGTTGTGTCGAATGGCTTTCGGGGGTCCAGTCGTACCAGAGGAGAAGAAGATGAACGCCTAGAAAAGACAGTCTCAAGAACAGACCCCAACAGGGAACATACTTACCGTCTCCTCCTCATCTGGTTCCACATAGGTGTCTATTGCGACTGGTTGACGTCTGCACAGCTCCTCAAGGATGATCGTAGAGATTGTCTCGAATTTTGGTTGCATAAGGATTTCACCAGTCTTCATAGCATATTCCTTTTCTGTGAGCACATACTCGACCTTACATTTCTCGAGGTACTTCTCAAGTTCGTCTGTAAAAAGTTAGACAAGGAAATAGAAGAGATGTGAGGAGAAGGGAATAAGCAGCACATTCGACTCTCGTCTAGAATCTTAGAGGTAACTTAGGGTGTCTTGCACCTTCCCAATGACTCAGCCATGCATTGTTCCTCAACGGCATGAGCAGCGAGCTCCCGAGGTGCTTCTGCTTGTGAAAAAAGTCATAAATTCGTAAATAAAGAAAACTGCGAAATGTTGAAAAGCGCTTGAACGAGGGAAATGTTTTCATCTTCCTTTTCGAAATGGAGACTCTCATGTTATTGAAAGAATGTAGAATGCTAGTTGCAGGCGTGGAATCCGAGTTTGCTCTTTGAATCTCACAAGCGAGCGTTAAAGGCAGTGTCGGCATGGATAATTTGCGTTCTCTTACCTGGAAATGGCTAGCAGAGCACATATATTCGGAAAATGGTTGAAAAAAGAATTGAAACGGTCAAAAACAGCTGCGAAGGAAAGCCCTCGAGTCTTTATGTACTCTAGAAACAATTCGCGGAATACAGAATTTCCCCAGTGCCAATAACCGCTATGGCACGTACGTGCCGCAGGTTACGTCACTCGATGTAGCATGTAGCACCTACCACTTTATAAACAGTCCCATTCGCTTTCAGAACTTTACATTAGCAAATTGATCAATATATACGAGCATTAAGAACGGTCATCCATTTCTTGGCGGGACGAGCCTGAATGGGGCTTCTCTGTCGGATATGTTGTAGTTAGGTTTGTCGCATAAGGTTCTATTATCACAGTGTTTGATCTCTCCTATTTCGTTGCATAGATGATGTTGGTATTACCGTCATCCACGTGTGGCGTTACGTGTACATTATAACTTTCTATTACACAGCATGTCACTCACGAGTTGTTGCATTACTTGCTAAGTTCACAGCACATGTCGCACAATTTGCACTGAGTGAACAAAAACTACCCTGCGCCCACTGTTTGGTTTTGCCATCGACGTTATTTCGGCTGGAATGCAAAGGAAGCCCATACCAAGCTGGTGGATACATACGGTGAGGACGTCATCTCTTACATGACATGCAAGAATTGGTTCGCCAAATTCAAGAAAGGAGACTTTTCTCTCGAAGATGCTCCGAGGTCGGCCGATGGAGTTGGATTTGGAAGTACTACGTTCCACCGTGGAGGAGGACCCGTACCTCACCACCAGAGAAATGGCGACCATGCTTAGCTATGATCATTCGACGGTTGCACGTGGACTAGAAAAGCTCGGCAAGGTAGCAAAGCTTGGTCGATGGGTCCCACATGAACTGTCCGCTTATGACCTCTCGAGGAGGGTGACCACCTGCACTTCTCTCCTCACTTTCCAAAAGAGGCTTCACTTTCTCAACTCGATGATCACTGGAGATGAGAAGTGGGTCCTCTACGATAACCCTGTGAGGAAGCGGCAGTGGGTCGACAAAGGAGAACAGCCAGAAGCCACCTCAAAGGCCGACCTTCACACCAAAATGGTTCCCCTGTTCTGTTGGTGGTCCAGAAGAGGCATGGAGTACTGGGAGCTGCTGGAGAAGGGACAGACGATTGACGCTTCCACATACGTGACCCAGCTGCGGAAATTGAAAGATCACGTCGACCGTACTCGTGGAAGGAATGCGGAAATCTACTTCCACCATGACAACGCCCGACCTCACACTGCAAAGGCGACCCAGCTGGAGAAGTACGGATGGCTGATGGTCGCCCACCCTCCCTACAGCCCTGACCTCGCTCCTTCTGACTACTGGCTGTTCAGCCACCTGCAGCGCTATCTGGACGGAAAAAAGTTCGAAACAAAGGATCAGGTCAGAAAGGCACTCGACGACTTCTTCAAGTCCCAGCCCCCGTCGTTCTGGAAGGAAGGAATCGACAAGCTGCCTGAGCGCTGGCGTCGAGTAGTGGATGGTGATGATGCATACCTCTAATCTTCAGGTTGGTTCGCTATTGAGATATTTACGAAAAAAGTCGTGTATAAGAACTTATGCGACAACCTAATACAATGCTGCCTCACTGTGTGCCAAATAAAGTACTTTTTTACCTTGACTTGTATTGTTTTCGATGCAGTGTCGACGAAGGTCTCATTTGCTGTGCATACTCAACATTAGAGATAGAAAAAAAGCCTAGAAAAATGGTTCAAAATCGCTTTTCCCCAGCAAACTTTTCACCCATTTTTGACCTCCCCAGAAGCGCATAGCAAAAACGAAACCCATTTTGTGATCCTTATATGGACCCCTACAACATGCAACAAACCATTTCTGAAAAGCGCGCCACGACCTGAAAGACCTCCCTTGTAAGAATCAACAAGCGCAAAGAAGTGGGGGGGGGGCATTTTGCATTTTTGCTTTCCTGGATCAGCACTCTAGATGGCTCGACACGTCTATGTTAAGCAGCAAAACTACAAAATGCCTTTCCCGTTGAAGAACCGTTCCAAGAATCGTTTCCGCATCCATTGACTTTTGACTCTCGAATCGGTGAAATTTTCACGCTTCATTACTTTAGGAATATTTAATGAACAACGTTGTGATGCAATTTCGTCAAGTATAGAGAATGGGAAATGTAGAGTCCAAAAGTTATCAATAGATACAGTATCGATGGATCGTGTTGATCCTTCCGTGCTTCTTCGCTTATTTGATGTCGCCGCCCCTACAGAATTCTTTCGTCACCGCAAATTACAACGAAATGGTCCTCTCCCTGAGCGCTCTACAAACTACTATCACATTCGACGATTTATATTCTTTTCTCAGGGTCAGTTCAAACATTCTTTGTAGCCACTGCGATCACCGTTGGTTTACATTTCAGAAACTCACAAGAGGAGAAATAGTGGGGCGGAACAGAGTGATATTGACCTCTTATCCCTCTATCGGATAACTCTCTTTGGGAAATTAGGTTCGAGTCAGTAGTTTTTTTTGTCGGAACGGTTTTTTTCACCTTGTAATTTTGCACACACAAATGAAGACACGTGTATTCTCCGAAGTCATTCTCGCTGCACACGCTGGAGCGCGTCAGAAGGGGGGGGGGGGGGTGGTTTCGCGCTGCTTCAGCCTGTTTTCCACGAATTGTTGAGGTCCACTGACATGTCCCTGCGTCTGCAGCGAAAGCGACATATTTCCATGCCATTATCTATTTATTGGAGCTCTACTCTATATACCGAATAAAACACTTTGAAGGTCGTCTGCGATCGTTCTGTTATTCTTGATTCTATTACAGTAACTTGTAAAAAGTGTTTCAAGACGTACAATATTGCTGGTATGCGCCATCTGGCTATCAGTGAGGTCATAGTATTCAATAGCTTCTACGATTCCGAATGGAAGAAGAATGCATGGCGCATCGTAAAAGGGTTGTACAACGGTGAAGGCAATTTTGTCACGAAGGCCGGCATCATTCTGAGACAGGAGGTGAATAAAAATCCTCACCGTGAAGGCAGTTGGCACGATAAATCTACAAGAAGTGTGGGATCACGCTCAGCAGGGCAAAGTTCAACCTCTTGAGAAAGCGCTGCGAGGCACCTTTTCCAAAGAAGATACCTTTATCTACGAAGGTGCGACGTGCCGATCCGCATGCTTATCGCATAAGGAGGGCAACAACTTTAACAATGGATTCTAGCCGTAGGTCTTTATTTCATTTAGCCGTTATCTAGCCTTTCCAGGATTATTTCCCGTGGTATCTCCTTCCGAGGGAATTACAAGTGAAAATTCTTCGAAATCTGAGCCGGAGAGATGTTGATAGTTGTCGCCTATTGAATCGAGATATGTTCGAGCTTATTCGGCGCAATGAGAGATGGATGAAAAGAAGATTCATTGAACAACTAAAGATACGAACGGTTCGTTACATCGACTGGGAGCTGTTCGACTTAGGAGGGGCATTTTGCATTTTCACCGGTTGTTTTGCTAGTTCCTATTGAATTACACGTTTCACCTCTACGATACCTGCAGACTCCTGTCAGGTGTGAACGAGGATTCCTATTAGCTTACAGGTCTTCATAGCATAGGTGGAAATCGATGGGAACCAGCAAAATGGTCACCCCCCAAGCTGAACTGTGCTCATGAACCGCCGAAATTTTGTGCGGAAAGTCAAGGGGATGAAACGCGACTACCCCTTTTCTCTCCCCAACCCACCCCCCAGCTAATTTGGAAAAGGCTTCCGAAAGATATTAACAACCGATTTTTGTGTTTCAGGTGTATAATTCTACCATACAACTTGGACGTATGTTGTCACGAGGAGGGAATAAAAGACATTGGTCAGTTAGGAAGAACCCTCATATTACTAGTTTTCTTTGGAATTTTATTATGCTGCCCTCAATTTGAAGGGACACTGCACGCTTACCTGAAAATTTGGTCCTTTCCTTGGGTGATGTGAGCAGACCTACAGCTACGGGAAAGGGTCGCTGTCGTCACTTGAAAAAAAAGGGTGGTAGTTAAGCCTTTGTATCCTCGTGGACTTATTCCTGATGGTCTCTTTCTCTTATGCAGGACTCAGGCACGCAACACGCCGCACTACCAACCATTCCGGAATAGCCCGGCACCTCTCTCTCGTTCTCGTCATTAGTCCTTTGGCGACACAACGCCTGATAAGGAGCTCATTCTCTGATCCTCCCTGGAGTCCGCTTTTCTAAAAAAGCTCACCTCGCGCCAGGACCGCAACGAAAATTCTAGTTGGCACGTAACCAGCATCGCACAAGACAACTTCTAGTAAGCGTGCAGTATGAAATTAAAAAAAAACAAAAAAACGAGAACAAAAAACTCGAAGGCAAAATGTAAGCTATATACTCTCAGCATATTGGACAAGCCCTTAATCTGGGACCTCTGCGAGAATATCTGATTATGAGTGGCTAATGCAGACCTCATCTTGCATCCTTTATAAAGTTCGAGCATTGCCTTCTGAAGAAATTCGGAAACGCCAACGTCTACGACCTAATCTTCTCTGAGGTTAGCAGTAACCTTCATTCACCTTATAATGCCATATTTTTCAGAAAAGTGCTATTTTGTCCGCGAGAGCACTACCTACCTTTCGTAGTTCAACTCATTTCAATTGCGGCCAGATATTGATCAAAGTTTATTTCCGATTATGATTTTACTTTGAGCCGGATGGAAGTCCACTCAAAAGAATCCGCTGAATTTGTTTGGGCGCGCCAAGGGTGTT